GGATATTTAATGTAGTCATAATCAGTTTTAGTCAGTTTATGCTGCTGTGCCTTTGAAGCTACTGCAGATACCATCTGAGCTAGGATATCTTGTATTTTCAACGAAGTAATATCAACCAAAATTTTTTTATTTCCAGGAAGTTTCATCTCTCTATTTGAGGGTTCAGAAAGTTTTTTAGACAAGTTGATCACAAGAATAAGGACAGAAGGGCATGGCATAAATGCTAACAGCAACTTTTGAAACTGAATTTGGCCACCAGAATCAAAAAAATACAGCCACTGTCTGTGAAGACCAATTTTCTTAATGTTGCATGAATTTCTGCAATATTCAAGGGGATTAAATTTTTTTCCAGAAGCTAAAATATTATAACTCACATCACGTGATACTGCTGCAGTGATTAGAGTCTCATCATTATCTTCTCTTGTTTCTGATTCAATTGGCATCTTGGGCTCAGACAGATGTAGATCTACATTTTCTTCAATTGGTGAGTCAACATCAGGTTTAATAATTAAATTTTGTTTTTTTGTTACTTTTTGGTGATGACCAGAGTGATGATAATCAGGGACACTATAGTGACTGCATTTGGTATCAACAGATGTGAAACTCTCATCAGTTTCATTTGAAGCTTGCCCTGCACGAATCATAGAATCTTGTAATTGAGCAATAACGTTTTCATCTATTTCATCATCTGTTACAAAATCCCATAATTTACCATCATTGCTACCATAACGACTAATATAAGCAATACAAGGCGCTTCAATACAGCTAGTACTCACTTCTTTATACGACAGAGAGAGAATTAATGATTTTAGACATGTTTTACCTACTCCGGCCTCTCCTTGTACAATAGCTGTACTGACACTGTACTGCAATGAATCAGCTTCATTTAGGGTACGTTTAAAAATCTCTTCACTGAAATAAAATGTACCTATAATTTATAAAAATATGATATAAACATTATACACATAACAGATTAAGGTCATGTTAAACTGCAATGAATTATGACCTGGCAGCCATGTCTCTATGAAAAGTAATATTACAATAATTTTAATTATTGTAATAATTATTAATTAATTTACAATATTACGCTAGTCCTGACGCTATGTTGACGCTGGAATAGAATCTGGTTCTATTCTAGTGGAAGGCATGTGTCAAAAAGTCAAATTGCCCACGCTTTTGATTAAAAATTGAAGTTACGTTGGCCTAGCGTCATATTGTAAACCAGCCTTAAGGCAAAAGTTGATTTTACATTATGCCATATGCCATGCATACGCATGTTTACATGCACTTCCAATTGCAGTGTTAACTGGTATGAAGTAAATCTAATATAGTACTGAGATATGCAAACTGACCTGTAATTTCAGATACAAATGATAAGCATTTTCTAAAGTGATCATCATGAAAGTGATTCTTAGCAATTTCCTCTGTCTTCTCCTCATGCTTAGCTATCCACCATGCAGCTAGAAATTCCTGGATCCTCAAGTGAAGGAATTGATATTTCTCCTCATCATGTGCTATAAATGATGTCATCAATCCAAGATAGTCTTCGTTGACTGCCTCACTCAGTGACTGTAGTTGATGTGAAGAGAATGTCATTGTTGTATTAGCCAGGTTAGTATAAGCTATTTGACACATCTCTTGTAAAGGCATATCTAAATGTGATGGTAATGAAGAAAGACTACCGGTACCTAAAGTATGTGGTGCATGTCTTGATTTTACATGTCTTTTGATGATTTGTAGAATAAATTTCTCGTACAGTTGAGTTGGTAAGTGTCCTCCTTCCTCAGAATAAACTGAGATGACCATGGAGCAGAGTAGTGGCACATAACACAATGATTGGACATCATCTTGCACACTAAGATCTTTAATGAGGTTTACTGCTAGTTGAGAGTCTTTACTGGTTTGCTCGGTTGTGAAATGTCTGCCTTCTTTATCATCTTCTCTTTTCTTATCAACGGGCTCTTGTGCTAGTGTTGTATCTTTTTGAAGTGTTTGTATAATTACTTTTGATATTTCTACCTTAGAAAACCCAATGACCTGAACATGCCTACTAAGGTTATTGATTTTCAAAAGGGAAGAGGAGGCATAGCTACGAGAGGTAACAATTACCGAACACTGGCGTAAGAGACCTTTGTAAATGATACTAGCAACTAATGAAGACTGTCTGAGTTGTTCACTTAGTTCATCCCAACCATCAAAGATTATCAGTAATCTTTCTCCAGCCCTATCAGAGAACCAATCAACTGTTTGAACTTTAGAAGTTCCATCCTGAAACAGGTCAGCTAGTGTAGCCAACTTGCTATTCCTTAAAGGACAGTAAAGTACCAAGTCATACTGTTGGTTTACAAGTGTTTCACACCACATCTTTATCAGTTTATGGCAAAGCACTGTCTTGCCAATACCAGGAGGACCATTTATTACTACTCTGAGAGGCAGAGAATCATCTACAGGTCGGAGGATATCTTCAACACTTATCTCTTTGTTCCCACTTAGCTTAACTACTTTATCAACTTGTCCCATTAGCAGATACCCAGCTGATTCTGCTTCTTTAGTGTAGTCCTGTTTCTCTACTAACGTTAGTCTGCCAGAGTAATCTTTCAGTGCCTGCATCCAGTCTTCAGCTTTGTAGCATTGTTTCATACTGTGAGCATAGCTTAAGACATCATCAGGTATAGTCTGACCTAATGTATTGAAATAATTATACTGCAACACACACACATGCACATAATACACCCACACACACACACATGCACATAATACGCCCACACACACACATGCACATAATACACCCACACACACATGCACACATGAACATGAACACAAGCACTCACCTAAAATAGAGGCAGCAATATTTCTTAATGCATGATTTTGTTGGTTTTGTAATACTTGACATAATTCAGTTAGGTACTGATGTGATTTCAGAGAGGCTTCCAATATTTCTTGAATAACATTCACAAGTTTGCTAGATTTCTCATAATTAGATGCACCTAGCACAAGCATATCCTCTTTAATCTGTTGTGTTATCAGACCTTTAGCATTCAGTGCAAGAGTTACATTATGAAGATTCTCACTAATAGCATGAATCAATTTATCAGAATGAGTCCTAAATATATCCTTTGGATTGCCTGTAGTATGTATATATCACTAGTTAATGGGTGGTATATCATAAGTGTATGTTTACCTGTTAAAGGACCAGGATTGAGTTCAACATCTCCTGATAAGAGGAGGAGGTTTATCAAATACACTGAA